ATGGCCGTGTCCTTCCTGTTCAGAATCAGAAAGGGTTTTATTGCCAAATGTTGAGCAGGTTTACAACATTAGGAAATTGCTGCGGTACTTAGTGCAAAGCATACTGTAAGACAACACTTAAATAAACATTAAGTATAGGGTCATGTGTTTGTGGTGGGAATAGCCATGGGGTTATTGTTCATGAGTCCAACAGCAGAGGGGAAGAAACTGTTCTTATGGCGAGAGGTTCTGGTCCGAATGGACCGGAGCCTCCTGCCTGAGGGGAGAAGGTCAAACAGACTGTGTCCAGGCTGAGAAGGGTCAGCTGTGATCCGAGCTGCATGCCCAGTGTCCTGGAGGTGTACTCTGCAGGACCTGTACAGCAGAGATGGGAGACTGCAGCCACCATCACCTTCTCAGCAGAGTGCACAAAACGATGCAGTCTCTGTTTGTCCCTGACGGTGGCTCCAGCATACCACACGGTCATGTAGTAGGTGAGGATGGACTCGATGATTGCAGTGTAGAATTGCATCATCATCCGTGTTGGCAGGTTGAATTTCTCCAGCTGCCTCAGGAAGTACATCTTGGTGATGGTGGGCTCCCACTTGAGTTCCTGGGTGATGGTGGCCCAGGAAGCGGAATGAGTCCACAGTGGTGATGAGGCTGTCAGTCAGGATGATGGGGGGGAGTGGGGCTGTGTGCATCCTGAAGTCCACAATAATCTCCACTATCTTCTGGGCGTTCAGCACCAGGTTGTTGTGGCTGCACCAGGACACCAGACATTCAACCTTCCACCTGTAGGCAGACTCATCCCCATCCGAGATGTGTCCGATAACGGTGGTGTCATCTGCAAACTTAATTAGCTTGACAGACTGGTGGGTGGAGGTGCAGCAGTTGGTGTACAGGGAGAAGAGCAGAGGAGAAAGAACACAGCCCTAGGGGAGCCGGTGCTGATGGTCTGGTAGTCCAAGACATTCTTCCCCAGCCTCACATGCTGCCTCCTGTCCGTCAGGAAGTCATTGACCCACCAGCAGATGGGATCAGGCACAGTCCTCTGGGGAAGCTTGCCTTGGAGATGGTCTGAAAGGATGGTGTTGAAGGCAGAGCTGAAGCCCACAAACAGAATCCTGGCGTAGGTTCCCGGGAAGTCCAGATGCTACAGGGCTATGGTGGATGACTTGAAGCAGCCAGGCACATGACATGCCTTCAGTGAGGAGTTGAAAATGCCAGAAAACACTGGGGCCAGCTCATTTGCACAGAGAGTGGCAGGAGACACACCGTCTGGGCCAGGAGCTTTCAGAGCATTCAGGCTTTTAAACTGCTTCCTCACATCTGCTTCATAAATATGAAGGGTTGTAGTGGGAGAAGGTGGTGTGAAATCCTCCTTGGTGTGGGGTGAGGAAGGGGGTGTTGTGGGTGAAGTCTTTGATGATGGTGATGGCTTTGTTGTGGAGGGAGAGGGGGAGGTGGGGGAATGAGTGTTCACGGTGTCTCTATTGTTGGGGCTGATGGAGGTGTGAAGGCTGCTTGATGGCTCATCAACACAGCAGTAAAAGTCGTTGAGGGTGTTGGACAAGTTTTAGGCTTGTAGTTAGTGATATTCCTAAAACTTTTCCACACAGAGGCCGAGTCACTGACTGAGATCAGCTCCTGTCCACTTCTTTGCTGAGTCCCTGTCTCCACTTCTGAACGCTTTGTGTTTCCCTAGAAGAGTTATACATTCAAATTATTTTGTACCTGTCTGTTTTCTTTGTAATTTGTTTAGAGTTCAGCAATAAAGCTGTTTTTGAGTTTTATAGCCCTTGTTGCTAAGTCGTGCATTTGGGTCCCAACTCCAGCCTGTTACAGTTCACCCTGATAGCTGGGTCTAATCTGTTGTGTATTTTAAGAAATTATTGGTTTCTAAAATTAAACTTACAGCAATGTATGTCCTGTGACCCTGAATTAGATGGACAGACGGACAATAAAAACAAAGAGGAAACAAAACTGTAATGAATTTCATTTAGTTTGTTATATTGTTTTTATTCCACAGTGTTTTCCTAGAGGCTATCATCACCCTGTTATGACATGCTAATTAATTTTGCATTAAGCTTATTATTTTTATCTATTTATTAGTGCTGTCAGCGTTAATCTCGTTATAATGACATTAATGCCATAATAGAATAGAATAGAATAGAATAGCCTTTATTGTCATTGTACAAAGTACAACGAAATTGGAGTGCCACTCCCTTGGTGCAAAATGCAAAATAAATATAAATGTAAAATATAAAAAGTACAATAAAACAACCATAGTACTCAGACAATAATAAGTACAATATATACAGGATAGCAGCATA